ATTTGTACGATATGCCAGACGTATTTTTGCGCAGACTCTCTCCTTTACCATAACAATTTTAGCGGCATGTATTCGTCAAGAAAGTTGATCTAGTCATGAAATTCTTTATACGGTCATATTTAACGTGTCTGAGCTCGGAAATGTTTTTTTTTCGTACTATGATATATTGAATCATAAAGAACAATGAAAGTAGACTAAAATTACTTATTGTTATAGAATGATTCAGATTGTTTATCCTCAACGATGAGTCAATTACGTTATTGGTAGCCAACAAAATATTGTATTTTTTATTTCTAGCCTTCATTTTTTCATGTATTTCTAGGTACATCTGAAAAGCAAGTTTTATTATAACAATTTGGTTTAGAAATATAAAATAAAGCATTACTAATTTTTTTTCTATCTCTGAGCACTTGTGGATATTTATTAACTTTAGAGTTGTAAACCTAGAGTTGACATTTTAATTTATGTTGTCTGCAAATAAACATTTCTTTCCATAAGACAACAGACTAACGCCTATTTTTTGTTCTAAATACTTTCAGAGAATCTGGAATAATTTAATTCTAGCCATTCAGTCGGATTTTTTCTTTTACAACCTTCCGTCTGTTTGTCACATCATGTACAATTATATCACTTGTGGAATTACTGCAAACGTTTCTAATAGAGGCAATATAAGAAGGGAAGTTTATTGTAGTTAGCAATACTGTATTTGGCAGTATGAAAGGGGATTATTATTATTGTAGTTGGCAATGTGAAAAGGGATTATTATTATTGTAGTTGGCAAGGTGAAAGGGGATTATTATTGCAATTAGCAATGTGAAAGGGATTATTATTGTATTTGGCAGTATGAAAGGGGATTATTATTGTAGTTGGCAATGTGAAAGAGGATTATTATTGTAGTTGGCAAGGTGAAAGGGGATTATTATTGTAGTTGGCAATGTGAAAGGGGATTATTATTATTGTAGTTGGCAAGGTGAAAGGGGATTATTATTGCAGTTAGCAATGTGAAAGGGATTATTATTGTATTTGGCAGTATGAAAGGGGATTATTATTGCAGTTGGCAATGTGAAAGAGGATTATTATTATTGTAGTTGGCAAGGTGAAAGGGGATTATTATTGTAGTTGGCAATGCGAAAGGGGATTATTATTGTAGTTGGCAATGTGAAAAGTGATTTTTTGTACTTGGCAATGTAAAAGTGATTATTATTGTAGTTGGCAGTGTGAAAGAGGATTATTATTTTTGTTGGCAAAGTGAATTGAGATTGTTATTATCGTTGTTCCATTTTAAAAGAAACTATTACATATATACATGCATACATACATGCATACATACATACATACATACATACATACATACATACATACATACATACATACATACATACATACATACATACATACATACATACATACATACATACATATATACATGCATACATACATGCATACATGCATACATACATGCATACATACATACATACATACATACATACATACATACATACATGCATGCATGCATGCATGCATGCATGCATGCATGCATGCATGCATACATACATACATACATACATACATACATACATACATACATACATACATACATACATACATACATACATACATACATACATACATACATACATACATACATACATACATACATACATACATACATACATACATACATACATACATACATACATACATACATACATGTGTAAGTACCTACCCACCTACCTAAATACCAAACTACATATCATCTGATTCTTAATCTAGGGATCGCATTTTCTTTACTCTTGATTAAAACTGTACAATAGATATTATCCGTAATACAATTTTGGGTGGTCGTGTATGTTGCCATATTATGTTATATTTCAGTCGGTAAAATATAAGAGCGTTCTTGCCAAATTGAAATATTTCATTTGTGAAACTGTATAATAGTTTAAATATACCATTTTCTGCCATTTTAAGAATGCATTTAGATTTTATTATATGACATTGTTTTCAATAACTCATCAGTATATAAATAGATTTTTGTTCACGTTTTGTGATTCTAATTGTCAGTTGTCAGTGTCGTCTGCCTTGAAAAGAGATGCGTTTACGTGGGGTTGAGGTGGGGGCGGTGATGCGCGCGCGAGTGTGTGTGTGGCAATGCAGGATTTTTAACTTATATTTTATGTCATATCGTTACGATGTCTGCGGGTTGCAGTTTATGGTGATGTCTAGCAATTGGGCATCATGCCGCAGACATGTAGCATGATGATCCATCCAGTCACATTATTCTAACACTAGGTCGATCAATCCTAACACTAACTTCTTAATGCTGAGCGCCAAAGGAGACAGTTGCTAGTTCGATTTTTATAAGTCTTTAATATAACTCAGTCCGGGTTCGAAACCGCGACGTCCCGCATTTGAGGCGGACGATCACTTAGACCACAGGAACGGTCCAGTAATAATTGGAAAACATACAAAAATAAATATGACTAAGGTGGAACATTTGAAATGCGGTGAAGTCCAAAACCGAAATGCTTTTCCCTTACAGAAACCTGCACATAATCTTGGAAGATTGTGAATAATGACTTGTAGAGAGTAGTGCCATATCATCTGCAACACACACAAAACTCGTGCATATTTACGACTTTCACAAGTATCACTGTCGTATCTGTGTTGTTGGAGGACTCGTGCAATTCTGCAACGAAACAACACATGTGTACTATATTTTGTCTCAGTTTTCTCTATCTGCCAATCTCTCCTCTGAGTTCATCCGTTACGAACATAAATACAATTTTCAAATCACTACTAATTTGCATATTTTTTTTATCTCCATGGAGGATGGGTGGAACGAAAACATAGATAACTTTGTCCATATTCTACATTATCTCAAAAAGAGTCGATAACGGACATGTCCTTGCAAAAGGTGTCATAACTCTCGCATATTACTTGTTGTAATATATAATATGATATAGTTTGATTTACTAGTAAATTTAAAACTTTTGTAAGCGTGTTGAGGAAAGCATTCACACATGGGCGAACATAATGGCATTCCCCGTTTTCTATCATTCTAGGAACTACTTCGATAGACCCACGTGTCTTTGCGATTGGAATGCCGGAAATTCTAATATGTCGTATCCTATAGGTTAATATTACATAGATGAGTTTAAGTTATCATTTTGCAACTTAAGATATTTTGTTGTTGCTGTTGTTGTTGTTGTGGGCTTAAACGCCATTTTTCAGAACAAGATATGCTACACAAGTTGATCGGTATAACTAATGGAAGGAGAACCAGGCAAGAATTACTGAACGACGAAAAGCTACCGGCAAGTCTTCTCATGTACCCACGTTGGCCAAACCCGAAACTCGAACCCGCTCAGACAGAGGTGAGATAGCAGTGATCTGGAAAGGTGGGCTCTTTAAGCCACTAAGCCACGAGAGGCCCCAATAAGTTCTGTACTTGTACCAAAGACTTTAAAAATGGTACTAACAGCTGCCTCGCTTGGCGCTCAACATTAAGACGATAGTGTTAGGACTGGTCGGCCTGGTGTCAGGATAATGTGACTGGGTTGGACATCATACTACATGTATGCGGCATGATGCCCCAGTGCTAGACATCACTATAAACTGTCACATTGTATACATCGTAGCGATATGACTGAAATATTGTTAAAGCTATGCTAAATCAAAATCACACGCACACACACACATACTTGCTTTGAATACAAAAGGAAGAGGAGAGACATATTGCATGAACCTCTCTCTTGATTTGTAAATGCTAGTTAAGTTTTCTGTAGACTGATTAGAAGTCTCTTAAAGAAGAAAATATACTTATCAAAATTTTATAATTTTTTAATTAACATATTACACCTAACATGGTCATTCGTTGATTTTTGTGTCAAATTTGTCTATACATTACCTGATACGACGATGTGGGCGTGTTAGATGGAATTACTACGCTTCCAGTGATCACGTGATCTGACTCTGGCAGCCATGTTCTTGTAACAATACCAAACAGATGTGAAGATGGATACAAATGCCAATCCAAACATGAAAAAATGGAAACTATGAATGTTTTAAAGATAAAATAAGGCAAGATATTTTGCATTTTCAACTTTCTGAAGTTTATTCAACGTCTCCACTAGTATACCTAGTGCATTCGAACATTTCCTTCTATTTTTGTATTCACGTTACCTACACAGTATCTGATAATATGTATTATATGTGCTTGGCATGATATAAAATGTATAGAATTCCTAAGAGTATATCAAGTCCAAAGTATATACCATATGTATGTATATGCTTCTCTGATTCCATCCGTAAGTAATACGTGTTGTTCGATTATTTCCATATGAAAACTCAAAGCCAACAGTATTTAATTAATTTCACTTGCTTATAAATATGAAGAGCTTCTTTTCTTGTCCAAACTTAACTAATGAATTTTTGTGGTGCAAAGATCTGTGTGTGTGTGTGTGTGTGTGTGTGTGTTTTAGCCTCACTGACAAAAAATGTCTAATACACCTACCGCTGCTTGATTTAAGGACGATCTTCACATCATACTGTCTTATAGGGGCTGCAAAACCTTCATTAGCAAAGGTCAACGTAACACATATAGTCCCGGATATGGCACTTGGGAGAACAACCTGATATTAATGTAAATATACTGACTGTTTGAATATCGATACGTTACCCCCACATAGGTTTGTTGTGTATGTATAACAATATCATCATAACAAAAATGGTGTGTGTGTGCGATTTAGATATTTAACGTAGCCCACATGGGTTTGTTGTGCATGTATAACAATATCATCATAACAAAAATGGTGTGTGTGTGTGTGTGTGTGCGATTTAGATATTTAACGTAGCTTTAAAATTTTTTTAGTCATATCGCTACGATGTATGCAGAGTGACAGTTTACAGTGATGTCTATTACTGGAGCAGCATGCCGCAGACCTCTTAATGCTGAGCACCAAGCGAGGCAGCTGTTAGTACCATTTTTAAAGTGTTTGGTATGAATCGGACGGGGTTCGAACCCACGACCTCCCGCATCCCAGGTGGACGCTCTTACCACTAGTCCAACGGACCGGTAGTAATAAAAATGGCGTAAAACTACAAGACAAGAACAACAATAAGAAGTAATACTAAATGTATTACTTATGTGATAGTGGGTGGTGTAGTGTGGTGGGGGAGGGCTGTATATCTGTTTTATATATATCTGTATGTGTGTATATATATATATATATATATATATATATATATATATATATATATATATATATATATATATATATATATATATCTGTATATATATATATATATATATATATATATATATATATATATATATATATATATATACACACACACAATCGTTGTTTAAATGTTATCTTACAGAAGTAAATAAACTCACCTCTGCTAACAGAAGAATCTGGACATAAATGGGTCTCCAAAATGACAGAACTTATCCAATCACTGCATCTTTACGCAGTATATAAGATACAAATTCGACTAAAAAAAAATTGTTTATGTCTTCTGTACAATCTTCTGTTCCAAATTAAATACTGCAAATATCCGGTCTCAAACCCATTGCAGTAAATGTAGGGAATTTTGCATCCAATAATCCCATTTCACATGAAAATTGTAATAATGTATGTTTAGTTCTAAAAGTGACATTTCAGGGTAAACAGTGTCGTTTTAAAGCTTAGGCACGCGAGGCACGTGCCTAGGGCCCCCGCGCAGCAGGGGGCCCGGCGGCGGCCCAGAGACAAAATTTTGGTATCGTTTGTTTTAGCAGTTTAGTACTATATTGATAAAGTTAAGACACACATGCACATGGAAATACGATGCAATACTCTATATCTGAGACCGAGAGATTGAGGCGCAATTCTAGTTACTTTTAAGATTAGAGTTTGTGCCTTAGGACCACAAACTTCTTAAAACGCCACTGGGTAAACATACTCTAGGCCAGAGGTGCACTTTTTCAGCATGCGAGCTACTTATAAAATGACTAAGCCAAAATGATCTACCTACCACAAAAATGCAAAACATATATAAGCTGACGTCTATTTTTTGATGTTACGCGATCTACTCATACTATCTTTGCGATCGACCGGTCGATCGCGATCGACGTATTGTGTACCCTGCTATAGGCCTACTGTGTACCGTATCACATCGCATCACATCGCATTGATCATTCTGTTATGAAACTCGAGGGACGATACTGGTTATCTCAGTGTGAGGGGCCAATAAGTCTGGATCAACGGATCTGTAGAATAGCGATGCTCACCAAGGCTCGCAAAAGCTGGACATTAATCAACTTGTTTCATTAATTCAATATTAAATAATTACCACTTTGAGATCCTCTATATATTGAATGACGTTGACAGGATAGGTTTCCGGTTTATTTTGCACATCGTCAGACAGAAGAGAACGCTTCCGGTTTAATTTGCACTACGTCGGGTGCGAGAGAAGAATTACTGTATATTTTGCATGAAGTTGGACGTGAGCGAAGGCTTCCAGGATATTTTGCATGACGTCGGACGCGAGAGGTTTTCGGTATAAGTATGATGAAGTGACAAACATTTAATACTCAGATTTAAACTTCCTTAAAATTCTTTCGATTAAATTTAGTCTAATCGACAGACTTTTGAAACAAGACATGCATTCCCGTGACACCCAAACATATACAATGTTTTTGCTAGTGTTTAATTTAATCATTTCAAATAAGTCTATGAGCCAAATCTATGCGTCTATCTTTTTTATTTCACCTATGACAATATCAATACATGAAACTTCAAAAGGCAATACCTATTGTTTTCTATCCACCTTCACCAGCACCATCCATATTCACACAAGAGTTGGAAAAAAATGAAATGAACAGTAGGATCGAGTTTCAGGGACCTCAGGTTCTACTCTTTTCAGTTGACTCAAACAGAAACAATTTAAAATTTAAAAATTGGAACCAGAAAAAAAACATCCCGTAATATACATGGCAAATAATTGATATTTTAAAATTTAATGCTAAAATAATTTAATCAAATTTTATTCAGACTGTTAAATGCTCCGCACCTGAAATATCATCAAACAACTTCTAGACAAAAAATATTAATCGCTGTGGATGTTTGCAATGGTAGTTTATATTAGACTTGGCCAAGAAAAGAGGACGTCGGGCCTATCATAACAGATCATACCTTTATGTTGATTTCTTCCTAAACTGTCTACGTAATTTAACATTAATTTTGTCAGATGAACTTCTCGGGCGTGTACCTAATAATATTCCAAAAGAAAATAGATGTGTGAAGAGCCAAATAAAGTGAATAATCGATATTAAAATGAATGTGTAATCAAAATTTCCAAAAATACACTCGTTATTAAAATAGTCGATTTTGAATACCTACATGCTCTGAATATTTGTCACCGCAGTGAACACTAAACACAATATGCTAGTAAACAGGTGAGCATTGGTTCCAAAGTCATCTTTATCAGCCAAGAAGCAGCTATTGTGTTGACCTTCCTTGTCTCATATATATATATATATATATATATATATATATATATATATATATATATATATATATATATATATAGTAATAATAATAAACTGATTAAACATTTTAGTGCAAAATATACCAACTGAACTAGAGCGAGAAAGTTTTAAAAACTATTTGTGATTGACAATAATTTATTTTATTGAAAGGATATAATACGTAATGTGCAATGAATGTGTATACAAAGAATACAACTGTCATATTTTGACCATTATTGGTTTTCCGTAGCTTTCGTTTCAAACTTAAATTTTATATTTTTATCAGGACAAGTTAAAACAGCAGCGTTCATAAATAGCTGAAAGGACATTATCTGCTTACCAACTCTTGCCTTTGCTACATTGCTCTGCACGTCACTGCACGTGGTTGCAGAATGGCCAAACACACCAAACTTGTATTTTGGTGTCCTTAGTTGGATTTGTCTAAGAAAATGAAGATCATGAGGGTTAAAATCTGAAAAACACTTATGCTCTACATTGAAATATGCAAAACATATTTTTATCTCTGTCCGTGAAATTATATTATCTGGTTCATATATAAGGCTGATAGTGACGTCACGTCACAATGACATACAACATTTGCTCGTGCTTGTTTAAATACCATAGCGTTGTTCTGATTGGCGCTGCTCGGTATAAAAGTTAATATACGTGAAAATTATTAAATATTTGATATTAAGAGGACAAGGTGCGATATACAAGATGTGTGTTCATTGATTTGACGTCATCTTACATCTACATTGCCAGAGAAACTGCATTCACGTATGGTTTTCTTGAAGTTTTCAGCCGTTAAATTCTCAGTCGACATATTGAAAAACACTGTTAATGACGTTATTTTAAAAACAATTTCATTACTGTAAAAAGTTATTTCCCTAAGTCATTCATCAAATATTAGCTTCTAGAAACAAAAGTACAGAAATCAACATGAACCTTTTTATGTTAACGGAAAAGAAAACAGATATCTATAAATAAATAAATACGTAAATAAACCTAACGTGAGTAAACTAAGATACTCATACTGTTAAAAGGTCAGTTTGTCCTAGTTCCTGCTTGACTAGAACTTGAGCAGTTGTTGTTTATTTTAAATGAGTATTTCGAAATACTAAATTATTTATTTGAAAACCTTGTATTGATTTATGAAGCTGTTAGGTTGTTAGCTTAATATATCAAAGGACTAAAACGCTAACTCATTCATTCTTGATATTTTAGTGATCTTGAAAGAGATATATTGATTTGTTTCATTGAATATATATTTTTTTGGAACTAAAGTGCTGTAACATTTGTTAAAATAATTGGAATTATTAATAAATTTGGGATTTATCATGAAACATTATATATATATATATATATATATATATATATATATATATATATATATATATATATATATATATATATATATATATATATATATATGTGTGTGTGTGTGTGTGTGTGTGTTAACTATTATGTAAGTTATATGTATTTTAAGGCGATACAAAAATTTGTTTCTCATTAAAATTACATTTGAGTTCGGTACCGCAGCTATCAAAGCATTCAAGACATGTTTCCGGTCTTGTTGATTTTGGGTACTGAGGCCATGCCCAGGGACTCCAAAATGGTCGCTATATTACCACTCTCCTGTAAAGGATTGAGAAATAAGTCTGAAAAGGTGAGTCATCTGACATTAAATTTAAATATTGTATCGACTTTATCGTTTCCATTTCACTTAGAATGCTTTCCTTGTTTCCTAATAAAACAGACCTTTAAGACCATTTTGAGCCCAAACAATGTATAAAAGCTTATGTACTGGTGTATTCCTTTGTTTCTGTACTCTATACCCTCTAACAAAAATACATTTAGTATTAACCAGCTTGTAAAAAAAAATAATTTAGATTGGTGGTAACGTGAAACGTTTGACATCAAAGAAAATTTATTGGAATGTTTTCATTAAGCTTAGATATGACCAACTCCAATCCTTACATAATTCTTAATTGGCTTTTGTGTTGGTTTTTTTTTTGTTGCGGTCATTCTTGATCTAAAATGTTGAGAAGTTATCCTACCCCATGTTCCTATGAACCCTGCTTGTACCACAGCTATTACGCCCTGGTAGTCAGGAAAGATTGGCTTCAGGTGTTCAATCTGGTTCAAAATCGTGGTTTTATCAGCATCCCCGTACGGAGGCGATTTGTGCTGCGATAGAATTTACACGATTGAATTTCTGTTGGAATATTCCTCTTCCATTAGAAACGTTTTGTTATAACTACTACTACTACTAGTACTACTACTACTACTACTACTACTACTACTACTACTACTACTACTACTACTACTACTACTACGCAGGCGCTAGCTAAATTGAACAAATTAGGAAACATTTTCAATTAAAGCGCATATTTAGTTTGCAGAACCAACTTTCATTTTAGGCGCATGCTAAAGTCCAATTAAAGTTAATATTTTTTTTTTACAAAAAAATGTCTTTACCAGATTGTTATATATAGCTTCCTCTGTAACTGTGTAGCTGAATCTCAGAATAACCATCATGCCTGTTTCCTTCACTGCCTCA